GTTGTGTGGAGATCTCTTTATTTCTTTTGGGTATCTAAGACTGGGAGTGGAATAGGGAAGCTCTGTGTTTCTTTGTTTGAGGAACTACCATTCTGTTCCCCAAGGCAGCTGCACCAGTTTTCATTCCCACCAGCAGTGTGTGAGGATTCCACTCTCTCTCTATTCTCACCAACATGTTTTTATTTTGGCCACCTGGTGAGTGTAAAGTGTGTGGCAGTGTGGTTTTGATTCCCTAATGATGTGGAGCACCTTTTTATGTGCTTCCTGTTCATTAACATATCTTCTTTGGAGAAACATCTATTCAAATCATTTTTCCATTTTTGAATTGATTTGTCTTTATTTTTGAGTTTTAAGAGTTCCTTGTCTGCTCTACTTGCAATCCATTATCAGATCTGTGATTTGCAAAGGATTTCTCCTCACGTTCAGGCCACTGCCCCTGGAGTCCCAGGGTGGTCCCAGTGGATGCCTCTTCTCTCTCTCTGTTGGTGGAAGCTCCTGTTTCTCCTCCTTCACCACAACAGCTCAGCTTCTGCGTGTTTGGCATTTCTATGAAAATTTCATTTGAAAAGTTGGTTTACTGCTGAAGTGCCGCTTTTACACAAAGTTGGAGCTGTGTGCGTTCACGCTGATATACCTAACAATGTTTTTTATACATAACAATCTTGAGAAAACGAAGTTGCAAAATATACATATATAATGATGATGCAGACTGTACAGATGTGCAGTGCAGAATGCTACTCTGCTGCAGAGACCCTAACTCTTCAGTGAAGGTGCAAACACTTGCATGGAAATTGCCAATATTAAGTCAGGGTCAGCAGTTGCTCAGAGAAGATAGGGAGGGGAGCAGGATTGGGTCGGGCTTCAACTCTGTTGTCTACAAAATGTTAGCATTTGATTGAGCCAGCGCTCCAGGTGGGGTTTGTATGGTCACTCTTCATGGCCTGTCTGTCATTAAGCTGGCTTTGCAACCTGCAGGGTATGTGTGACCTTGGGTAGGTCACTTACACTTTCTAGACTACAGTTTCTCCATGTTTAAAATGGGTGAAATCATACCTGCCACATTGGGTTGGCTAGATTAAAGGAGTCCATGTTAAGAGTTTAGAGTAAGTTAAATCTGTTAACTGCTGTCATCATTCCTGGTGTATTATGGCTTGCAGTATTTCGTATTGACCGAGAAATAGGAAAGTGGTGTAAATGTGGAGGCTACAAGAGTGGCTGAAGCTGATCAGTGGTGATAGGGCTGTCTGTCCTCTTTGCCATGTGTGCCACTCCTTTGGGAAAGAGCAGCTCTAGTCCCCATGGCCTGCCTGGGGTCCATGTTGTGCTCTGCTATGACTTCAGCACCCAGACAGTGCCTGCTGTGGCGTGGATCCTTACTGGGTGCGTGGACAGATGCTACTTTGCTTTCTGGTTTCTTTTTCAGTCCCTGATGCATGTAGAAATGTACGTGATGTTTCTATCTGGATGTTACTTTAGAATCTTCTTCTGAAGTCATTTAATTCTCCTTTGCTTGGGAAATTCTGACTTTGCTTGGGAAGGAGAAGTCCTAACAAAGCCTCCCGGGGCCAACCCTTTTGAATTCCTTGTCTTCTTTGGTCTCTGACCTCCTCTGTGTAACGAGGCTGGGCTGGGCTCCAAGGATCATCAGGGGAGGGTTCGACTTGGGAATGTGTTTTTGCTCACCGTTGAGACCGTCCTGTGCTGCCACTTTGCTTTTCCCAACTTTGACCTTCCTTTCTCTCAGATCTCAAGCATCGCTCACTCTGCCTGGAATTTTCTACCTGCCTCACATGTCTTGAGTCTGGGAGTAATTTTTTCTCAAGAAAAAAACAAAATTTGGTTTCTGTGCTCCCATGGCATGTTCTTGTAGGATTTATCACAGAACATTATGAATGCCAATTCACATTTCACATTTTTAAGTTGGACTAGAGTATGCTTATATTTGCCTGCCTAGTTCTGTGTCACAGAGTCAACATCCAACAAAATGTTAAATTTTACTGAAAAATTTTAGGATATAAAGTAAATGTTTATCCCTGGTACCGCAAAACAACAACAACAACAACAACAATAAACAACAAAAAGTAAACGTTTGCTTGTCATGTAAGCAAGTTTGAGCTCAGCCTGGACAACTTAGCAGCTTAGCAAGATCCTGTCTCAAAACAACAACAACAAAAAGTGCTGGGTTGTAGCTCAGTGCAGAGGTTCTAGGTTCAATCCCCAGTACCACAAAAAAAGTAAACATTTGATATAAACTATTGTTCTGTAGGTATAGGAATGAATAGGAAATAGAACACTGAAAAATGACTCAATATATAATGTAATACAATATTTTGTTTTAAGAGACAGTCTTGCTATATAGTTCAGACTATCCTCAAACTCACAGTAATCGTCCTGTCTCAGCCTCCTGAGTGCTGGGATTATAGGCATGTGCTACCATACCTGGCTCTAATATAATATTTTAACATACCCTAAACCATTGGGAAGATGAAGTTATTTTAATAAATGGCATTAGAACAACTGATTATTTTTTAGAAAAATTGCCTTACTAAACACTGCATATTGAAATATAACAAATTCTACTTGGAGTGAAAAAATGAAGTCATAGAAGTATGGAGCAAGCACATAAGATATTTGTGTAGTGTCAGAAGAATATTTCTCAAAGTGAACTCATGGAGAGGATAAAGGAATGGTGGGTCTAGCCTCTCATAGTCAGGACCGACCGACCTCTTGTCACCAGGACTGACCTGGTCTCCCATGACCAGGAAAAAAGATTTGCCACTTGTGTGTTTCCTGTTGCTGCTCTGGCAAACTACCACACACTTACTGACTTAGAACAGAACATGAACTTAGGGCTCTGGAGGTCAGGAGTGCAACCCAGGTTTCTCAGGGCTAAAATCAGGCTGTTGGCAGGGCTGGCTCCTCCTGTAGGCCCCAGGGGAGAAGCCTTTCTCTGCCCTGTCCAGCTTTAAGAGGTGTGCACAGTCCTTGGCTCGAAGCCCTTTCTCATGTCCAAAGCTGGTGCTGTCTCTGATGGCTGTCAGAGTAATGACTCCTCTGGGCCCTCCGACCACAGTCTGGGGAACGTGCTCTGGTTTTACGTGCTCATGATCAGTGTGGGCCCATCTGGGTAGCCCAGGTAATCTCCCATTCAGGATTTATATTCTCGGGCACATCCTCAGAGTCCCCATTGCCGTACATGGTGACACATTCACAGGGTCTGTGCACTGGGACTCGGACATCTTTGGTGGGGTTGCTGTTGCTGACCACATCATCTCAATTACCAAGGTATGAATTCCCTTTTGACAAAGAGGTTTTTACACATCACTAAGAGGGTAAAGACCCTGATAGGAAATGGACAAAAGCGTAAACAGTTTATAGGAAGAAGAGAAAGAAATGAGCAGAATTTATAGAAGTTGTTCACCCTCACTTATAATCAGGAGGAGACACACTCAACACTGAGGCGCCCTCTCTCTGTCCCCCAAGCCTTGCTTGCTGGGGCCCATAGGAGCTACTTTCTGCCCTCTGGCAGCGGGGATCAGCGGCTCCTTAAGTGCCTGTCTTACATTGCAGCCCTCTGATTCCAGGAGTGCATCCTCAAGAGAGTGTTAGAGTGTAGAATTTGTCTCCAGAGGCCATGTTGCTCTTTTCGTGATCACAATCAAATAAGTGAAATGTCTTGGTCAGCACTGGTTAAACTCAGTACATTGTGGCCACATGGTGGCACAGTGTGAGATGAGGAGTGGTATTGTCCAGGGAGGTGGCATGGCCACAGACGAAGTAGCTGGAGCTTCTGTTCCTGTGGTTTAAAAAATCTTTTTATTTTGAAATACTTGTACATTTACAAGGAGCTGCAGAGAAATGCATAGGAAAGTCATGTGTGCTCTATTACTGCACATATTCTTTTTCAAGCAAGGCATATAATGTAAGTAAATATACTGAAGAAGAATAAATAATGATATGCAGAAATAGTCATGATCTATTACTAAGAAAGGAAGGTAGGATTTCATGAAAAAGACTAGAACATTCATCTGTCATCTAAACAGCTCTTTGCCTGTGTTCGTCATTACACACATGCATGCCTCCAGGTGCTGCACCCCAATGTCACAGTGGCTTCTCTGCTCTGTGAACCTATCCGTTAGTGTGTCCCAGGACAGAGGGTTAAATAAGCAAGGATTTTTGTTATGTGCCTGAAGTCGAGGGAAGGGCCAGGCTTGGACTGGCTGCTTAGCGAAGCCTCCAAGGATGTCTGCCTTCTGCCCTGCCACCTTCTTGGTGGTGTCTCTGGGTAGGTACCCAGGCCTCACCTTCTCTGTTCCCAGCAGGGAGAAGCTAGGGCCAAGCATGTCTGTTTTTGTTGGAAAAGACACAGACTCCATTTCTTTCTCCCTGGCCTGGCCGGGGCACATGGTCACCCCAGCTGGAGTCAGCAGGGGAAAGGGCTCAGCTGACCAGCTGGGTCTCTCTTGTGGGTGTTCTGTTTCCGTGTGTTTTCCAGATGTACTGTGACAAGCGTAAAAGGTGTAAAATAGAACAGTCAAATCTTTTAAAAAGTTATGTTGATCTTTTTTGTGATACTGCAGTCGAATTTAAGACAAAATAGTCCCTGATACGAGCTCGGCATTGCTCCTGGGTGTTAGTCCTGTCTGTTAGATGCCATCTGTGAGCTGAGGCTGCATGACCCTCAGTGCCTCCAGTGCCCTTGTCCCAGCGGTGGGCTCCCAGGTTCTGTGGTGGCGCCTGGAGAGCTGTGGCTCCGAGCTGCGCCTGCTCTTAGGAGAGGCCTGAATGCCCTGTTTGTCTGTGGACTCTGGGCCTGTGTGGTGCCATTCATCCCTCCTCAGCCAGCTCTGCTGACCCTGGGTGGCTGGAGAGGCCAGCAGCTCATGGAATGCTGCTTCCCCCATCGTGTGGTCTACTCGGAGCTGGCTCTCTCTTGAGTTCACTGCGGGTTTCTGACACAGCCCAAGCAAAGCTGATTTTTTCTCTTTCTCTTTCATTAGCATCCAGCATGTGTATGGAGCCCAGCACCCCCCTTTTGATCCACTGTTGCACAGCACGTAAGTGAGGTTTCCCAACCAAGGCTTCAGGGCTCTGATTAGAGGCGGGCCGGGGCAGCCAGTGTCTTCTGCTTCCTTCCAGCTCCTAGCTGTCCTTGTGTAGCTTGTCCTACAGTGGGGAGACGGACGTGGACTGCAGCCTGATGTGGGCAAGGGCTGGAGCCCCTCACGGGAGCACAGAGCCAGACTTGAGCTGGCTGGCAGCCTGGCCGCTGTTCTCCCCTGTACTCCCTGCCTGCCCTGCCCATGTCGTGTCTCCTTCCCGAGAGCAGGTGGGAGCTAGGGTGTGTCTGACACATGTCTGATGAATGGCGTGTGGGCGAATGTGGCCATGTTTGGGGGCTCTCCTGTAAATGATGATGTCTCCCCATCTGTGCACCAAAGTCCTGCCTGCCCAGCCTCTAGCTTTGCTGAGATGCCGGGAATGGAATGTGGTACAGGCTCTTCTGGAAGTGAATTGGGGATGTGGGTCTGCTCACCATCCCTGCAGCCCTGTGCTTCTTTGCAGCCTTGTGCTTCTCTGCCAGTGGCAGAAGCTACTTGCTCAGCTGTGCCCTGAATCGTTCCTCTCCCTGTCACTAAGTCTTGGTCTTTGTTGTCTCTGTGAGCTGTTTGCTCTGCATGCCGCCCTCATCAGGATTGAAGTATCTTCTTATCTAGGGGTTCTTTTCTGGCCAATTTAGGTGAACACTCTCTAGCTCTGAGTGTGCACAGTAATGGTGCCTTTGCCTTGCAGTTTGCTCAAGTCCACACCCAAGGTGCCGACCACCCCAGTGAAGGCCAAGAGGGTCAGCACCTTCCAGGAGTTTGAGAGCAACACCAGCGATGCATGGGACGCGGGGGAGGATGACGATGAGCTCCTGGCCATGGCAGCCCAGAGCCTGAACACCGAGGTGGTCATGGAGACAGCCCACCGCGTCCTGCGGAACCACAGCCAGCAGCAGGGCCGGCCTGCACCACAGCAGGTGCCTACGCCTGAGCCGGAGCTGCAGCCTGTGGCAGAACCACCACCAGCCCTGATTGGTGACCTCCGGCTGGTGAAGTCAGTCAGTGAGAGCCACACATCCTGTGCTGCAGGTAGGAGGAGCCCAGTGGAGGTGTGTGCAGGTCCGGGACAGCTGAAGTGGGCCGGGTGCTCATGGTGGGGGCTGAGGAGGGCTGTTCTACCTGCAACAGGACTCCTCGCCCTGATGGCCCATGGCAGCCGCAGCACTGTGAGGTGGGGAGCAGCCTTTGCTTTCCTCTGGGGTCCTGATGTGCTTTTCTCTGCCCTCCAAGCACAGTGAACCTCCTCTAAATGTGATGCAGGCCTGTGGCTCTTGTGGGCAGGCCATGGGGGCACAGGGTCTAGGAGCACCTTTCTCCCTCTGAGGGACACCGGCTAGGCTAAGTCTCGCACATACTGGATTAGGGTGCTCTCCCCACATTAACAGGAGAGAAAGCAGGGATCATTGTAGGTCTCTGAGGTCACCCTGCAAGTAAATTCAGAACTGGATTTCATACTTACTCTGGTTTTCAAAAATTCTTTCTAGGAATCGATGAACTACTAACATGTTACAAGACTCTAGGTGTGGGTGTTATGAATTATTTCACTTAATCAGTTTTTATATCAGAGTCTAACAAGTTTAAAAGCACTTGAACTTGTAAATGGAAATAAGTTACGGCTTTTGCATTTGGTTGAAAGTCCCGATGGTGACGAAGGCGCACATTTCCCACCTCCTGCGTGCTCAGATCCAGCTGTGGCAGGCTCTGGGTGTTGGCAGGAGCCCTGAGTTCACCTGCTCTTGCGCTGTGCTGGTGAGATTCAGCCTGCTGTGGAGACAGCGTCTTGAGCCCCTGGGGCTGAGCTGGGTTCTCTGTGATTGCCACCATCCTCAGCACCCCTATATGCAGGAGCCAGGAGTGGGCTGGACTGCACAGTATGTGAGGGTCCTAATGCAGGTAACCCCAGGGTGCCCCTGCAGGGGATGCCCCTGCTGTTGCTCAAGACAGCTTGTGCCCAAGAGAAGGGGTCCATGATCTTGTTCCTTGTGCTTCCACCTTTTATTTATTTATTTATTTTTGGTGCTGGGGATTGAACTTGGGTCCTTGTGCTTGCGCAGCAGGTGGGAAAATCACTGAGCTAAATCCCTGGCCTCTTCCACCTTTTTAGAGTTGGCTTGCTTTCTTGTGTTTGCTTGCTGGGCCCACCTTTTTTGGGTAATTCAAAATAATAATAATGATAACATTTGATCATTTACTGAGTGTAGATATTGTAGCCAGCCCTTTTGATAATAAACTCATTAAACTTTGCAGCAGCTCCTCCTTAAACTTGTGGGAGGGAAGACAGGTTGTTATTCCTCTTTCACTGATGAGGCACTGTGAGGACCCAGAGCTGCTCCCTGACTAGTAGGGCTGGGATTCAAACCCAGGGTATCTGGCTGCGGAGTCCCTGCTGTTCCCACTGGCCTTACTACATGATCTTATCCCCAGGGGACAGGTGGGACTGTCATGGACAGTTTGGGGCCATGGGTCAGAGTCTGTGTCACTGGATGTGCTAGGTAAGGGCTGAGATGGTGCTCAGCACCCAACTTCTCCTGAGATGGGAGTGTCGGGGCTGCATCCATCTGACTGCGTACGACACCTGCAGGTAGTGTTAAGGCTTGTACCTAGATGTTCTCCCATAGCCTCATGTGCTAAGAGGTGGGGCTTTTGGGAGGTGGCTGCAGAATGGGTGTGTGATACTGGATCACAGGCGTGTAACACTGGGATTAAGGGTGTCTGGTACTAAGTTAGCCCAGTGATTGGTTTAGCATAGTTCTGGATATGGGTAACGGGAAGCAGGCCCCCCCCCCCCCTTAGGGGTGAGCCTGGATAGGATAAAAGAGAAAGGGAGGCTTCATGCTGCTGCTTTGCTGCTTCCTGCCTATCCTGCCATGGATTGTTTCTTTTCTGCCATGCCCTGGAGCCAGCAGATTATGGACTGAAATCTCTACAAACTATGAACTAAAATAAACCTTTCCTTCTTTAACTTGTAGGTCTTGGGTATTTTGTCCCAGCAATGAGAAAAGTAACTAAGACACTTTGCAAGTTCCTAGAAGGGAGGACCATGCCTCAGTTGTGTTTTTCCTTGGGTCCTGTAGCGCATCAGTGCTGGTAAACATGATTTGCCTATGGCCTGGTGTCCTCGCAGCTCATTCCTGTGCCCTGCCCCTGCAGCACTCTTACACCTCCCTACCCAGGGGCCAGGGCCTCTGCCCCAGTGATTGATGTGCGAGTCCCACTGTGCTTCATGCCCACACACACAGCTTTGCTGGTCTAAGTGTCCTAGACTAGTCCATCTCATAGGGCACAGTCTACTTCCCTGGGCTTGTAAATGTGCCACGTCTTGTGTTTGGGTCCATTTGAGCTTCTCTGGTGCTCCAGTCACATGTGTCACCTTGTGGGGAGCTGGACATCACTTGTAAGTGCCTGTGGCCAGCATGCCAGGTAGGAGGTGGGGTGAAACCAGTGTGTGCATTGGGTGGTTGTGGGCAGCCTGCACTGTGCCTGTGCTCACCTGTGGCTGTCCAGTCTTTCTTGGTGGATACCTGGGCACTCTCTCATCGCCATACTTGAGAACATGTGCACTTTACTCACTTAGTGACATTGGAGTGAAGGGCAGAAGCCTGTCCTTGGCTGGTAGGGCTCTTGAGGTCTTTGCTTCATGGGTGGTGGGCTGGATAAGAGCTGTCTCTGCAGTTGATGAAGACGGAGTTGTGACAGTCTGTGTGGACATCAGCTGATGATGGTCCCTTTGCCCTGTGCTGGGACGTTGGTGTGCCTTCTGGTCACAGTTGTAAGGTCTGGCTTAGTTTCCTCCAGGGATACTGCTGTTGCTGTCAGGGTTCCACCTGCTGCATCTTTTTTTTTTTTTTTTTTTTTGGTACTGGGGATCAAACTTGGGACCTTGTGCTTGCAAGGCAGGCACTGGAACCACTGAGCTAAATTCCCGGCCCTACACCTGCTGCATCTTAAAGGAGGGAAAGAAGTGTGTCCTGCTCAGGAGGGAGTGGCCCTTAGGGGCTTCAGGCATGGGGGGGGTTGTCTTCTCATTATCTCTCCTGATCCAAGTAAACACCCTGGAGGTGTGGCATTGTTCTTCTGCTGAACGCTTTTCCTACAGGATCTCGAATGCAGCCAAGGTGACAAAAGGACAAAGGAGCACTGAGTCCCCATCTCCCTCACTTTGCCAGGGTGGCTCTTAGGGAAGGGAGGAGGCCTCCTATGAACACTGCCTGCTGGGGACACAGGGGCAACAGGGTCGTCAGGAGCAGGCTGTACCTCTACTTAGCATGTTATCTAGACTTAACTGGGCCAGCTTCTGGGCTGCCTCCTCCTGGGTGGCCTGAGGGCTGCTGGGTGAAGCCCTGCACCGTGAGGGAGCCAGGCCACAGGGAGGGGAGCAAACTAGTGGAGGGAGTGGTGCTCTTGCCTGATCTTCCTGCAGCTGGCGGAAGTGGACATCAGCACTTTGGCTCCATGGCATTGTTCTTGTTCCTTTTCCTGGAGTTTACATTGCCAGCTTTGAAAGGTGAGCTGCTGGGTGACATCCATCCCTCAGAGCCTCTTGCCTGTTGGTCCTGGGTGGCTCTATTGGGTGACCTGGGCTCCTTCAGCTCTTCCCCCAGCTCTCCCTATCCTGGCTCCTGATAGAACTCATCATCACATCTCCCCTCGGTCCTCGTGGTCACCGGGGCCTTTGTGTGCAGCAGCTGGCCTGGTAGGCAAGCTGGCACTCTGGGCCTGGGTGGCTGCCCTCCCTCACCTACCTGGCTGCCTTGATTTCCTCACTCCCAGGGCTGTGGTGCGGTCCCAGGGGATCAGGACGTGGTGGTGTCAGGTGTGCTCTGGGGGGTCCCGGTCCCCTGTCTTGACCTCGATGCCCTTGATGTGTCATCCTCTCCTCGCAAGGTGACTTGATGGACTTGGTCCCCACATGCAGGCCTCTTCCACAGCACATCTGTGGGTTGTGTCACCTGGGCAGCCTCATCTGTGGTCCAGGCACTGGAGGGCATGACTACGACAGCTCTCAGGTGGCCAGGACTTTTCTGGCTGTCACTGTTTGCTCTAATGCAGAGGTGTAAATTTTATTGGTGAATAGCACAGGGAGGCAGGGAATATACAGGTGACGCTTAACTGTTGTTGCTCACGAACCTGAGGCCCCGTGTGCAGGGTGATGGGAGGGAGAGTTGCGACCCCACGCCGTTTACAGAGAGATGATGGGATAGCCAAGGCGGGTCCTCCCCCTTCCCCTCACTGCTGTTCTCTCACCCCTTGCAGAAAGCGCCAGTGACCCGGTCCCTCTGCAGAGGTCCCAGTCTCTCCCCCACTCAGCCACCGTTACGCTGGGTGGGATGCCCGAGCCCAGCACCCTGGGAAGCTCAGCGCTGAGTGAGAGAGAGGCCTCTCGGCTCGACAAGTTCAAGCAGCTGCTTGCCGAACCCAACACCGACCTTGGTGAGTCCTGCGCAGTGGGACTGGCGCGCAGTGCATGTGTGTCCCTGTGGGTCCCCTTGGAGGAAGTTGCTGTGCTATGCTTTCATGCTGGAAAGTCCCCGAGCTACCAGATGTCTGGCCAGTTCCTCTAGACATGCCTCTGTTGTCATTCCACAGCTTGTTTTCTGTTCCTCTTTCCTTGGTGCCCCCATTTCCTGCTGCTGTTCTCAGTGTGCCCTGCCAGACTGGCCAGGTGGCCTCCTACTTCTCCAGAGGCTGATGAAGACAGAGGCTCACAATGGGACACGCTGGTCCAGAGGCAGGGGGACAGACTTCGAGAGGATAGGCACCAGCCCGAGTCTTCCTGGGGAGCTGGGTGAGGCCCATAGGACCTTGGCGGAGTCTGCCTAGATTCCGAGGCACCTGCCTGCTTGCCAGCCTCTCTGTCGGAATTCCCACCGAGTACAGCTCCCTTCTGTCACTTACACGGGTCATCTTCGTTGAGGCCACTGTGCTAGGCAGAGGAGTGGGCTTGGCCATGAGATCACTCACAGTTGGGGGACAAATATTGGAAGAGACAGCTACTGGTGGTGCCAGAGTGGCGCTCTGAGGGCCCGAGCACTGGGCATGCAGTGCCTGTTTTGGCCAGGAGGTGGCGGGTGGGGCACGTGGATGGGCTGCCGGACGGAGCCCTGTGCCTGGGAAGCTGTGCGGCAGAGGGCGGAGCAGGGCGACTCCTTCCAGAATGGCTGTGCTCAGTTTCAGACGCTGCGGTCTCTCACCTTTTCAGCCTGCAGTAGAGCTGCCAGAGCAGTGCAGGCAGCTCCCCTCGGCTTGTGAGCCAGACTCACTGTGGCTTCCATCTCTGGTCTCCATCTCTGTGTGTGTTTGTGTGTTTTCCCTGAAGCACTTGAGCGGCCGTTGGAATTGCCTGTCCCTTTGGTCCAAAACACTTGACTGTGTTTCCTAAGAGTGCAGATATTCTTTAGATAGTCACGGTGGTGTTGCTAAAATAAAGAAATGTAGCAGTGACACAGTACTATCGTATTGTTTTGCACGGTCACTTTGCCACCTTTCCCAGTGATGTTCTTTCTCGCTTTTTTTCCAGAGCAGGATTATGCATTCCGTTCAGCTGCCACGTCTCTCAGTCTCCATTAACCTGGAGCAGCGGTGGTTCGGTCGCTTGCCGCTTTGCCTTTGATCCTGACATGTGAGGAGCGCTGGCAGTTGTTCAGTTGCTGTTTGTGTGATGTGTCCTCGTGATACGGTCTGCGTTAATCACTTTTGGCAGGGGTGTCATGGGGGAGACGTGGGATCTTCTTGGTCCTGGCAGGAGGTGTGCGCTGTCCATTTGTCCTAACGCCCTCATGCTAACTCTGGTCGCTTGGCAGAGCGGTGTGCCAGCTCTTTCCGCGGACAGGCTGCTCTTTCCCCGTGGTAATTAGAATTCCTCTGTAAAGAGAGGCTTGGGTGCTTTTAGGCAGTAGATTTCTTTCTCCTCATGAGCGGCAGCACTATTCTTTCTTGAATTTAACTGTGTGTATTTTCCCTTGGTTCATAGGGAATTGCGTGCTATTCTATGGGTGACCTCTAGTTTATTTCACCCACCCCCTCCCGGTGGGTATGTAGGTGACTCCTAATTGTCCTTGTTACGAAACACTTGGGAACTTTCCTTCAGCCATCTGAGCCCGATACCATTCACAGAGAAGCCCTTGGTGTGGTTGTGGGGAGCGGGAAGAATGCAGGACGACACTTGTGATTCTCAGGTCAGAACTGGATAGGAGGGAAAGGCAGATTAGAGGAGCGTAGTCTCGTGGCTTTCGTACTGACCTTAGCCCCTGGTTGCCTTCTCTGCTGAGGCCATGTGGGGAGGCAGAACCATGTAGTGCCCGGGAGAGTAGTTTTCAGAGTTGGTCGCCTTTGGGGAGATGATGAGTGAGTGGGTAACTCATGATCCTGTGCCTCAGGGCCCTTGCTCAGCTGGGAGATGTGGTGACCACAGGCTCCAGTTTGCAGCCTGTGATGATACTCATGCAGTGCTCAGGAGGGTGTGGGCTGCTAATAAACACTCCAAGCGGTGTGTGCTTTTGTTATTGTTATTACCAGCATTTGCATTGACCAGCTTGCCCTCTACCTTGATTTTTATAGTACTGATAATTATAGTATGGCCACGCCAGTGATTGGTAATAGGTCAAGGTAGTTCACAGGTGGGTTCAGTGGCTTCTGGCTGGCTCTGGGCAGGTGGCCGGGAGAGAGCCGATGGAAAGGGACTGGCTTGCAGGGAGGGTCCTGTTCCCATCAGGCTCTGAGCACCAGCTTGGATCTCCTTGTGAACTTCGTCATTGGGCCAACTTTTGGAAATTAAAATCACACTAACAAATAAACCTCTTAGGACTTGTGGGAAAAGGTATGTATGGGTAGATAGGAATGTTAGCATGTAAAAAGCAAATTCTTCTGTAAGGTTATTGTGATTATGGGTTTTTTTCTTTTTTCTGGTTCTGTTTAAATATCAAATCCAAAATGCAAAAGCTACAGCCAGAACTTTCAGAGTTACACAATCATTGGATTTGTATTTAGCAGCAAGAGAAAGCATAGCTGGTAAGTTGCCCATTTCCTAAGCCCTTTAAGGTAGCTCTGAGGACAGTAGAATACATCATCTTCACAGTACGTAAAAGCCTAAGTGGCAAATATTTGCCTACATTGGGGAAGCAAACCGCTGGTGTGTGAAGTACCCGCAGAATGATTCTTCCTGCTGAACATCGTCGTCCAGCGGGTGCTGCTTTCTTTGTTTAGTGCGTGCTCTGTTACAAGCACAGGGATGAAAGTAGCAAATAGAACTTAACAGCTCATCCCCTCCTAGCATCGACTCAATATTTACTCCTACGAAGACTGCCTGCTTTGAAGCCTGGCACTCGGGGAGGCACGTGTGTTGGTTGCGTGCCGGAGTGGGAATGTGATCTGGTGATCTGCAGAGAGCGCAGCTCCCCTTGGGCTGCCAGGTAACCAACTTGCAGCAGTGGGCCCAGGAGGCATCCTGCGCAGGAAGCCCAGCCCTACTGCGCTTAGCCTTCTGACGCCAGAACAAGAAGCATTACCTTCCCTTCGAGAGGGGCCAGCGCTGATCATGCTGCAGGTCCCCACAGGAGCATCTGGCTAGGCTTTAAGATGAGAGCCATATCTAGGTGGAGGTGGGAGAAAGGCATGAGTGAGGGCATGTAAAAGGCCTTGGAGGGCAGGGAAGCAGCGACAGGAGCCTGGGAAAGGAGCCGAGGGCCTGGCTGCAGTGGGGTGGTTGGTTCCCATCGAGTGGCTGGATGGGACCTGGGGGTGGTGGCTGGCTGATTTTACATGAAGCTGAGTAGACTGGAGAGAGCTGAACCAGCATAGCTTGGACTTCAGGGCCTGCGAGGACAGAGGAACTGCTGGTGGACACAGAAGTCAGACACACTGAGAAATGTCCTGTTTCTCTGGGGAGATGAGGAGTCGTGGCCTGTGAAGCAGGAGCCAGGGAAAGCAGGATGTCCACATGCTTGGGGATTGGTGCCATCACACACTGTGCCATTAACCTGCACCTCACCCCTGTACCACCTGTTAAGTTGGAGGCGGCCTCTGCAACCCTGCAGCAGGGCAGGGCTCCTACCATCCAGGTCTCCCTCGCTTCTGGGTAGCGTGCACTGGGGGCCTCATTTTGGAGGCTTGAAGTCATTTTCTCTCCTGTGGGTTTTAACAGAGAGCTTGTTGTCTGGTCCAGGCAGAGGCTTGCCCCGAGGTGTTTCTGCGCTCCAGTGCCCAGTATTGCCCTCTAGTGGCCAGGCCCGGGCACCACAGCCTGTGCACTGTGTTGGATCTGTGCATGTACACACGTTTGTGCCTGGGCGTGTTCATCGTGTTTACAGAAAGGTGAAGATAGGCTGAGAAGAGATGAAAATGTGAGAGGGACAAAGAAAGCTTCAGCTAATTTAGTCTTGTTCTGGAATCTCGACAGAGGGACTGCCTTGAGCTACCAGAATGCAGAGACCCCAGGACACAGAGGGAACAAATCCCCACCTGTCTTTGTGGTTTCACCTGGCTCCTCTTCCAGCTGTACCTCTGCATGCTCAGTGCCGAAGCCACACCCAGCTGCTGGACCAGAGAGTGGGATGCTGTCTTTTACCCCCACTCCACCCCCTCCACCCTGCCCCCTGCGCCCACCCCCTCCAGCACCCCTCCTCCAGGCCCTCTTTGTGGCCGGCTGCCTGTGTGTCCTCTCCAGTTGTCTATGTTTCTACCTGGTTCTGAACAGAGGCGCACAGTTAGTTGCTGAGCCTGAGCTTGCTGGGCCAGTTCTGCTAGCCGTGAGGCTTCCTTCCATCAATGCTGCAGATGGGTGCCGAGTACTAGCAGGTGCTGGGATCTCAGGTATAAGACGTTGCGCAGCCACTGACTGGCAGGGCTCGCAGGCAGGGGGTCTAGGAAGGCCTGGCTTTGGCTCTGCCTGTTTTTTTTTTTAGGAAAAAGTCTTTGGGTGAAATGAAGCTTTAAAAAGAGGACTTTCCTAGTTTTTATAGCAGTTCTTAGGTTCACTTTTCCAAGATAGCAGCATCTAGGGTGGGGGATTTAGCTCAGTGGTGACACTCCTGCCTCGCAAGTGCAAGGTCCTAAGTTTGATCCCCAGTATGGAGAAAAAAAAAAAGTGTTGACCAAGGTAGTGGCATCTACACAGCCCTGGTGAGGGCTCCTGCCACATCAACACTGTAGAGGGCACCATATAGCAAGATGGCAAGCATGGTCAGCTTGGGTCTCTCCCCCTTTTGTAAAACCACTGATGCCATCATGGGGCCCTGCCTTGATGTCCTTATCTAATCTTAATTACTTCCAAATGCCATCAACATGAATTAGGGGATTGAGTTTCCGACATGAATTAGGGGATTGAGTTTCCGACATGAAATTTGGGAGATACATTCAGCCCATAGCCAGGGCTCATGGGTTTATGGGTCCACCTAGGTGTCGGCGATTCCTCACCAGCACCTTATCATCTGAGG